CCCCTTCTGGGCTGAAGGGTGGGAGTTGTTAACTTAGTATCGGGGAGAACTCTATCGTGAGGATATTAACCTGACCTGGGAGGAGAGTCTCTTATACTGGGTCTTGCTGGAAAAGGAGCACGAGCCTAAAGCCTCTGCAATTAATGCCTGCACCCTGTGGGTTTGGTACTTGTGATGCAAACTACTTTTCGCTGGCATCCAATGCTGGATCAAGGAGAAAGGCGTATACTTAGCAGAAACTGGCCTCTCAGCCTGGGTTGAGAGGTATTGCCTTGTTTTGAGCTGATTATTAGTGGATAGCCAAAAGAGAGGGGCAGGTCCTGTTCTCTGTGGTGAAAGTACAAGCGCTTCATTACTGTTTTACTGCTAGTACAGGAAAGACGCACTGTAACTGAAAGGCACCGATTAGGGCTGTGCTGCTAAAACCTTCTTGGGACAGCGCACAGAAACCAGCTGTTTGCCAGAGGTTAACCACTTTTTGCAAGGATGAAGGATTGGCTTTGTTTTTGTAAGTCTTCCCACACACTGGGTGTTTTTGAGCTAAACTTTGATGAATGAACTCTATGATTTGTGAGGATCAGAAAGCAGATTTAGGAAGCTGTCTATATAGTACAACAGATTAGGCTGTATTTTCCTTCATTTAAGTAATTGTAACTGCCTCATCACTGCAGTGAATTTTTGGTTACGCAGATATGCTTTAATTGGTATTGAACTGCCTCTTCTTAAGATAAAAGATTGGAATTGAACAACTGCAAATACTTTAAAGTTATCCCGTGACTTCTGAAATTTCAAACCAGTTTGTGCTCTGTATTTTGCCCCTTTTTGAATGTCATTTCTTTTAACTTTTTTTACGAGCATTGGAGGTTTAGTAGAGTATCAGAAATCTGCATTTGTGCTCACTTCAGTTTGCTGGAGTCAAGAGAGGTTTCATGAAATGGAACAAATGCTTCACCTCCTGGTCACAAAAGGCAACTCCTTGACATTAGGTTCACCGCCATAACACCACCACCCTTCTATTACCTTGTAAACTGAGTTTGTTGATACGCTTCTGTGTGCAGATAAATATGTGTGTATGTTCTGCTTTGTATATATATGATTTGCAATAATGGCTTACTACCAATGCACTAGAAAAAGTGGTTGCTTGATGCAGCAGTTCTCATCTCAGTGGAAAAAATGTTAAAGTAGTGCAGGGCCCCAAGCTGTGTCAGAAAACTGGGATGGTTATTGCTTTCCTTTGTAGAGATGTAAAATGGGTTGTAATTCTGGCACTGGGGAGAGAGAAGCTGCTGTGGTGAATACCTAAGAGAGGAGGGGAAAGAAGAAAGAGATGAGTTTGGATGGATTATACTTGTATTTCATTTTTGGTGTGCAAGGGAAGAGCAAAGTGAGTGGTGAGTGGGCTTGCATCCAAAGTGCACAGGGATGTGAGCAGTCTGGATTTATGTTGGGAAACCACAGTGACTTGGAAAACCTGTTGACTTAATTCATTGTAACTTGCATTAACATAGGACCCAGCACCTTGCATGAACAGGAATACATTGTATTCTGTGTTGGCTGCTTACTTTTAACCTGACATTGCCTTGACTACACACTTCCTTGGCTGGGGTCGATTGGGTAACAGCAGCATGGCTGTTGGCGATGTGGGTGGGCAGGGGCTTATGCCTGCGCTCCCTAGAGCTATAAACGAGCCAGACATGTTGTCACGGCTGTGGACTCTTCTTGGGGAGGAGGGGAGATGCCTGTGGTCATTCACAAAGCCTTTTAGCATAACAGTAACTGCACTGTCTCTCCTGGGGAATGAAAGCTTTTGGGGAAGCAGTTCCCTGGTTTGTCCATCAGCCCCACAGCAAAAGAGGCTGTCTCTTCCAGTTAGTCCCCATGCTATGGGACAAGGGAGATGGTGCTGTGAGAAAGGTCCCCTTTTGCTGTAGCTACTGCATGTTGGAGCTGTTGGGTGCACTGCTATGGGAAAGAAATCCATCATGAGACAGTATTTGGGGTTTCCAGTTGCTTTTAAACATTATAAAATACCAGAGAACAGAATCCTCTCCATACAGTAGGGAAACACCTCTCCTCGTCCCACTTCACCTGTAGCCAGCAGAGAAGACTTGGACGCAAACGGTGCTGCTCATCCTCACCACAAGTCATGACCCTTCAGCTGTGCTGCCTTTAGTGCCTGCTTTAATGCCCACTAACGTGCATTGGGCTCTCTTGAAACACTGCACAAGAAACTGCTAAAGAACTTAGCTGCATGGAGTAGCTTTGCTGTGCAACGCAGGAGCTAGAGGTTAAGTTTTGTGGTGGTGTGACTCCTGGGAGCTCTTTCCTCTTTTCCCCACATATGTGAGGCTTTGGATAGAGAAGTCCTTTGCTCGTACACCCCATAGCTTTTGCAAGTATCAAATAACTAACAATGGAGTAATCGGTTTTGCCCCCAATTTAATGAAGCTTGCCATCACTGAGAGGTTTAAAAAGAAATAGTCATCCAAGCCTTACAATTAGTGGGGCTTTATCGTAAGCTTGTGCTCATCTGCTTTCTGTTTGCACCTCTTGGTTTTGTGGGGGTCATGTTCTCTGCATCCCTCTGATGCTGAAGAACAGCATCTACTTTAAAGAAATACAAGCAAACACAGCTGCCTGCTGCTCAGACATGGGAAGTTGAGACATGGAGCCTCTCCATCTGCCCCGAGAGTCTCTGTTCCCATGTGAACTAGTAGACAACACTCCTCCTTTGCTGGATTTGCTTCCTTCTCCACTCTCCTCTCATTACGGCCATGGTCTAGACATGGATGGTTCTGGTCCTGAGTTGTGTAGTATGTAGCTCACAGGAATACTGCCCTGTCTTTGGAGGTCGCTGGGATTTAAGCTGGGATTTCAATGAAAGCCATAACCCTGCGTAGTGTCATTTGGCCCTCAGACGCTCAACTCACTGAATGGTGCTAAACTACTTCCAAAGGAACTTTGTTAGAATGTAGCTCACCCTCTTTCTAGAGCAACTCCAGCTAAACAGGGCAGAATCCCTTGTCAGTCTTTGTGCCCAAAACACAGCTGAGTATTGTGGCAACCCTCTTTAAAGGCAGAGGATGAAGTCTGTGGGATGATTTCTGGTGTTATCCCCAACATCATTTGGACTTGGTGCCCTGTCCCCTCCCTGGGGGACCTGATAAGGACAGCATCAGGTCTGGGCACAGACCTGTGTGTGCTGTGCCCCTCCCAGTTGCTGCAGCATGTGATGACAGTGGCGTGTGTGTGGCGGTGATGCTGCCTGACAGTCTGTATGCATGGCCAGACATCGAAAATGGTGTTAGCTTCTTAATTGAATTCTTTGAATTTAGTTATAAATTGTAATTTTTATAATATATGAAATATATTTATTTGTATATCACATGTATAAAATAAATATAAAACTGTGTTATGAATTAAAAAGAAAATCCAGCTGTTAACCAGTTGTTAGCACTGGCAGTCCTCGGTCTTTGTCGCCAGAGGGCTGGAGAGGGAGGTCCTGCTTTCCTGGGGCCAGAGGCGGTCATCCTCTCTCTGACCACTCTTGCTGGAGCAGGGCCTGGTGGTCTCACACAGTCCTTGGCTTCAAGCCTCGCCAGTGTTTTGGTGAGTGCAAAACCCGCGGCACTTTCTTGGCAGTGGTGGTTAGCTCGGCGAGACGCACCGAACCTGTCCTGGCCCTTTGCTATTCAGTGCCTGGCTCCGTGTTTCCTGGAGGAGGTGCTCATCTTTTGGAAACATGCTCCTGGTGTGCTGTACCAGGGGCATAAAGAAAGCTTTATAAGTGCATGCTGCTCTGTCTGCATGCGGCACGGCCTTTCCTGTGCATGAAACAATCTCCCCTCAAGGCGTTCCGAGCTAATCTTTTTGCTTAATAGGGGAAACGTGAGATAAATCATCGTGGCTGGCTATGTGGCTGTGCCAGCTTGCTGTGCCTCCTGGCAAGGTGAATTTAACCTCATTTGGCTGAATTGCTTATCAAATCGACATCTCTGCTGCTTTTAGATTTTCTTAGTAGCTTCTGCACCAAGTTCAGCACAAATGAACGATGATGTTTTGTACAAACATGTAGTTTCCCACCCTGGAATGGGATCTTCAAAGGCTACCTAAAAATCCTGTTGTTCGTAAGACGTGCTGTCACAAACTGGGAACTTAGTGTTCCAGATAATTAAAAAAAGAACAGCAAACACAACTACAACTTCATTGTTTCCTTACAAAAGTAGAAAGCATCTAGCAACCGTGTACATCAAAACTATGTAATGGACATTATTAAAACCAAAATCCCCTCGTTGTATAGGAGTCAAATCTGAATGCAGGCTTATATAAAGTAGTAAACATTTAATGAAGAAATAGGCAAAGCAGAAAAAAAAAAACTGCTCAGGAGACCTGATGCACTGAATTACTTCAGTCAGTTGAAACACTTCAGTACAGTTAAACCTGGACAATAAGGTTAGAGCACAATCAAAATAGCTGCAAGTCATTGGGTGTCACGTTCAGCCTCCAGTAATTTGTCTTAAAGGACAGTGGCTTTCAAAATAGCCTGCTGGATGCCTGGCAGCGTACATTAGGTGCTGGTAATTAATTGGCTGCTGAATTGATCTCTTCCAGTAAAGCAGAAGGGAAAACCCATGGCTAGATAGCAAGGAGGTATGAGACTCGCAGAGCTGGAGAGGATGAGCGGGTTGGTTGTGCCAGGCAGCCTGTGCCACAGCTCTTCCTGGCCACCCCAAAAATAACACCTGTGTGCTCACTGCTGGCCTGGCGATGCAGAGAGGGCTCGCAAAGGGTTTGGGTGTCCATTGGGATGTTTAGCTGCCCTGCCAGCTCTATGGTAGGAGGAAAGCTCATTCAGCCCAGTGCTCGCTACAGCATCAAAGCTGGTCATGCGCTCTTACTCATCCTTGCAAGGAGCAGTTTAAAAATACTAAATGTACTAAATGTACTAAATGTAAATACTGCAGCTGTTTTGCCTTCGATGGACTGTTACTTTTTCTCTAATGGCTTTTAGGTTGCAGAGTTCATTTTTTTCTGAAGGCCACGATCAGCAACTGAAGACAAAGCAAGTTATGTGCAATACTTGTTTAACTGTCCCTTAATTGCTTTTGACTTCGTCACATGACCCACCTCCTGCTTAAGTGTATACTTTATTCTTTACTTTATTCAGGGGTTTGTGATGTGTGTGAGGTTTTTCTTCATTGGACAGAACCAAGAGGGCTGCAGAGTAGTGATGTTTTGAACTTCCTCCTTTTTGTAGCCTAAAGGAAACCTCAGGCAGTTGTTTCTGGTGAGTTTTGAAATATGCTGTAATACAAATGGCCAGTGGAGCCAAAAGCCACCTTAATGATCTGTGACATTTTCAATTAACTTCTAAGTCACAGTTTTGGCAGATGAAGAAAACAAACTTGTCCTCCTCTTGCACATTCTTAAGACAGGAGCCGTGTTAAAGAGAAGACCATTCATATTTATAACCACTTTGAATATTTTGGACTTTCCAGACTCCTAGCTGGCTGATTCAAATTCCTTGAGAGCCAGAGGGGATGATTTGAATTGCTTTCATTTGGTCAAACATTAGTTGAAACCAACTTGAGCTTGTGTCCGAGTGTTTTAAATGAGAGAGTAAGCATTCCTGGAGCAACGTAACTGAGGTGGGTATAGTGTATTTAGGTGGTGTTTAGGTATCTGAGCTGCAGGGGATAGAGAGTGGGGCTTGTAAACCTTGTGTAGAGGCAGCTCTGTGGACAGAGAGCCTGAGGGGTTGAGCAGTGCCAGGCTGTGCTCGTACAGCAACAAAAGGCAAATGTAAATGCACACATGCAGAAAGTGACTTTTTGCTGCTAAATTTTGATCTGGGCTGCTGCAGGGCAGCTTTTTGGTGAGGACATCTCCTGCAGCCAGGAATCCATTGGCCACGCTGGGAAAGCAGGAACAGGGATCCTTTTTGGCATGGGGTGAAAGGTCCGCTGTCTCCTGGGAGCAGTGGCTGATGGCATGGAGGTATCTTGCTGTCCTAGTTAAGCTCAGGAGCCTCAGGGTTTGTGCTTGTTAATGGGAAGGGGATTGGTGGCATGTTTCTAGTAGGAGAGCCATGGATGTCAGCGCAGGGGTTTTGGCCTTCTCCAGAATAACTTGCCAGACTTTAGCTGCTGTGTTTGATAGAGATGAGTTCAGGCTGGAGCGAGTGTGGAAAAAGGCTGATAAACCAGCCTGGGCTTATCAGGGCAAACAGACCAAAAAAAGAGCTAGGTCTGTCTTACTAGTGAAGCAAAAGCTGAGGATCTGTGTGGTTACTTTCCTCTCTATTTATAGAAAGTGAACACCCGAGAGCGAGGAGAGTGATTTCAGCTGAAAGACAAGACTTAGCAGATGACAGATGGATTGAAAACAGGAGCAAGCTTGGGCCGGGAATTAAGGACAGTTTCTAACCGGTAGAAGAGGAGGAGCGTGGCTGAACAGTGAATGACATCTGAGCGAGAGCTCGGTCAGCCTGTGTAAGGGATTGGGTGACGTTGCCGGGTGCTGTTGGGATGATGCTGCTCAGCCCTGCGTTTCTGTGCCGCCTGCGAACTCCAACTGCGCCTGGTCGCAGGGCGATGCTGCTGCTCATGCAGCGAGGCAGCTCGCCTGTGCCGGGGAGTGCAGGCGTGTTTGCTCGTTCGCTTGCCAAACAAATGAGCAGGAGTAACACGTGCAGATCAGTGAGAAAGGCTTGATGAAAATCTCACTAAGAATGAGCCTAAAGCTGATGTGGTGAGGTGAAGGAAATCCTGCCCGCCCTGCCTGCAGCGACTAGGGCAGTCGAAAGGAGGTGTCTGCCAAAGCAGCTCATGATTTTGGCCAGTGCAACAATTTAATTAAAGTAGCACTGAAAAGGAAGCCGGAAACTCAAGAAACAGGTTTTTAATCACTTGGACTTTGGCAGACAGTCTCTATGCAAATCACGCCTCCAGCCTCTCCGCTGTTTGCATGGGTGTGTGTTCCTGTCCCTGCGGGTGGACAGGGTGCAGGCAAAGACCCCGCAGGCTGCTGGCACGTATCACCTTGGCATCTGCACTTGGCCTTCGGCTTTTGGAGGGGCATCACATCTCTTCGCTTATGTACGTGAGGAGGGGCCCTCTGAGGCTTCACAGTGGTGGGTGCCTCCTTGGGGTGCTGGGGAATACACCTCGGTGTGGCAAAAATGTGGGCAGCACACATGGGGAGGAGAGGTCCTGTCTGTCGCTGTATTTGATATGAGAATTTTGTTGATGGAATGTGAATGTGCATAAGACAGACATGGAGCTGTTGGAGCGGATCCACAGAAGGCCACAAAGGTGATCAGAGGGCTGGAACACCTCTTCTAGGAGAAAAGGCTGAGAGAGTTGGGGCTGTTCAGCCTGGAGAAGAGAAGACTCCAGGGAGACCCCACAGCAGCATTCCATTACCTGAAGGAGGGCTACAAGAGAGCTGGAGAGGGACTTTTTACAAGGGCAGGTACTGATAGGACAAGGGGTAATGGCTTTAAACTGAAAGAGGGTAGATATAGGTTAGATATAAGGAAGAAATTCTTCACCATGAGGGTGGTGAAGAACGAGAACAGATTGCCCAGAGAGGTAGTGGAGGCCCCATCCCTGGAAACATTCCAGGTCAGGTGGGATGGGGCTCTAAGCAACCTGGTCTAGTTGAAGATGTCCCTGCTCACTGCAGGGGTGGTTGGGCTGGATGACCTCTGAAGGTCCCTTCCAACCCAAAGCATTCTGTGATTCTATGCTTCCGTGAACGTGGGATCTCTGAAAGTACAGCTGTCAAAGCGATTGTCTGCTTTGTGGGGCCCCCTGCGTGTCTCCTCGCAGCCTGGGGGGTCCGGGCTGGGTCCCGCTCGCTCTGGAGGAGGCATCGCACCGCGGCGGGCGATGCTCGGTGTCAGTGGAGGTTCCCACCGCTTTGCTGTTTCCTCAAAGATTTCTGAGCGCAGAGGCTCTTCTGGAGACGCTTTTGGTTTAGGGTTTTCTGTGGTTTTTTGCAGCCTTCTCTTCCCGTACGGCAGCAGGTTTTCAGGAGCGGTGGGAAGCTGTACGAAGGCCCTTGGGGTACGGCAGGGCATCGCCC